CCGCTCACCCCACACACCTCTCCCCCCCCATGGCCCCCTAAGAAAAAGGTTGCTAGCTACGGGGCTGTCTTGGGCCAGTCACACTCTCTCAGACTAATCTACCTCACAGGGTTGTCGTGAATATAAAATGGAGGCGAGGAGAATGATGTAAGCCACTTTGGGCCCCCATTGGGGAGAAAGGTGGGACATGAATTAAATAAATAAATATTGTTAATCTCGCCCTCATTCCAGCCTTTAGGACTCTTTAATAGGGCTGTCACGCTGTCATTGTCAAGTTGTAACCATCCCTATCTAGATTGCTTGAAGCAGTTAAACTATTATCTCTTAGGTAAGAGTCATCTCCAGCTCCTCAAGGGTTAATTCAAAAAACAGCTCTGCTGCCATTTTGATATTAAGGGCCAGCAGTCTGTTTTCATTTTCTTTCAGTTGTAGCCCATGTTTTTGTGTGTCGGATCATAGAATCATAGAGTTGGAAGGGACTTCCTGCACAACGCAGGAAATTTACATATATCTCCCCTCCCAGTGACCCCTGTTCCATGCCCAGAAGCTGACAAAAAATCTGCATGATCTCTGGCCAAACTGGCCTGGTTAAAAATTGCTTCCTGACCCCAAAGGGGTGATCAACATTTCTCTTGGCGTGTAAGAAAGGGTCACAAGAACTAAGCATCATCTTGTCCCTGGTGTCTGACAAATCTAAACCCTCCCTCATGGCACCAGCACAGCATCTATATAGGGAAATTGCTAGTGCATGTCTGTCTAGCTGGCCCTGTATATGGAAAAGGAAGCATTTCAGAACGTTATCTTGGAGGGCCTGGACTTCAACTTACTACCTAGCAGCCTAATTTTTTCTTCTGAGAGAGAGCCAGTTTGGTGTAGTGGTTAGGAGCGTGGACTCTAATCTGGGAGAACCAGGTTTGATTCCCCAGTTCTCCACATGCAGTTGCTGGTGTGACCTTGGGTCAGTCACAAGTTCTTTCAGAGCTGTTCTCTCAAGGGCAGTTTTGGAGAGAGGTCTCTCAGCCCCACCTACCTCACAGGGTGTCTGTTGTGGGGAGGGGAAGGGAAAGGGATTGTAAGCTTCTCATAGACTCCTTTGGGTAGTAAAGGGTGGGGTATAAATCCAGTCTCCTTCTCTTTCTGAAGACCACAAACTGCATTTCCCAACATTGTTGGTCTTGATGTGAACCATGACTGCTGACTACTACTCTACAACATCTAGTAGCCCCTCTGGACAGTAAGAGATGTCTGCAACCTTTGACAAGGCAGGCAAGTCACTACATGGTTAAAACACTTGTCCCAAACCCATCTGTGACCCGAACTCCTCTAAGGACGGTTCCGGGAGCCTAATTCTGAATTATCTACAACAGTGGGCGTGGCGTGAGTTCTTGTCCAATGTATACAGAGGTCAGATTGGCCAACGAAACGCTCCTAATTCCCAGGAATTGAGACAACACGCTAGGTTTATGAATAAATGTTGCCTTTTACTAAACAGTTCTCAAGCATACGAAAACAGATGCATACACAGATTCTCTCAAGATCCTTAGTTACAAAAGTTCATAGAACGCAATCAGCAAGGAAAATAACAAAAGCAACAGACAAGGGGGATAACACAGCAGGATATCGCTTATACTTATCTGAGGTCCAAGCTGGGGAGAAATCTCCTCGTAGCAGAAAAGGGGCAGCTTAAGGATCAGCGGGTGAATTCTAAAAGCACACGAGCTGGACCGGCCAAGCCACGTGCGGGTTCCTGGGTCGCGACTCCTGGGAACACAGTAAGACTCACCTGCAGCACTTAAGTTGCAAGGTAGGGGAGGGGTGGGTTAACCAGAGAAACAAAGGCTGTGTTCCTCTTTTTAAAAGCTACGTTTTTGGGCTTGGCTTACGGCCATAAACCCTTAGGGTCCGTCCTCTTTGCTAAGGCTATAGGTCAAAGAGTGGTGACGTCCTAATGAGGGGAAGGGGGCAATATGCAGATATGCTACCCTAACTTCAAAGGAGGCCATGTGGCCAGGTGTGAAACTGTCGTTTCCATTGGCAACCTTTGACTTGCAGAAGATGCACCTGGTCCATAGGCAATCAAGGAAGTTGTCTTTGTGATTCCAAAACCAGATACCAGGGAGAATTGCGTGCTTTCCCACAGTTCGCCAATGGTGGGAAAGCCTGTTGTTTCTCCAAGTCTCTCGTTGTGCATAATGGCGCTGGTCTCTTTTGTCCAGAGGCACTCTGGGAGATTCCAGGGAGGCATGTGTCTTGTGGCAGGCAGCTCAAGCCATGCCCATCCATAGGCAGCATGAGGTGCAAGGCCAGCCATTCAAACACACAGCATCAAACACACACAGCAGTGATCCCTGAGTCCCAAATGCACAGATACACAGACATTTGACCAACATAGCATAAGCACAGTACAGACAAAATGCAATTGCAAACACACATGGTAACACATCCCACTGCATTCCTAATGATTACACCTTTGCTACCACAAGCCCTCCTCCCTCAAGGCTCCTAGGGACACTCAGTTTGAGAAGTTATCAGTTCATCATCTGAAGAATGGCTCCTTTCTAAGTGAGCCTTCCCTCTCTGCTTCTCACTTGCCTTGAAAGCCCTTTGTTGGGGTCACCATAAGTTGGCTGCGACTTGATTGCACGTTTCACACACTATTTGGAAGTGACTCCCTTTTCCTTATGAACCTTGAAAGCTGTTGGTTATCCTTTACCTAAAGAAGATAATGAAAAGGTCATTTTGCTATGTAATCCCAATTGATAAACTTACATTTTTCACATTTGTACTCAAGCGGTGACCAGGGATTCTTTATTATCCCTTAAATTGGCTTGCATCCTACTTGCAGTTTGTGATAAATCACAAGGTAACTGTGATGACCTCTTATTTGGGGAGGTCTAGTTTTACTTTAAAATGTTATTTATGTTTTGCTCTCAGGGTAATCTGGCTGCCATCAGGGAAATTTAGGCTTTCCCAACCTTTTTCTATAATATTTTTCCTACTGGGTTTGGTATTGTGACCCAGGGTCTGGGCTTTCGAAGGACTATGTGTTTCCTGGGAAGAATTTCGTTCAGAACTTGTGTCTTAAATAAAAGTAGATTTATTTGATGTTCACACACTCTTCCCTCTTATTGACAGGGATCAGGGCATGTCACTTTGTAACAATATTTTCCTTAGGCCATATATGGTTACTGTTTCTTTATGCTTTAACTTTTCATAACACACACAAGACTTCTCTCTCTCAGACCTTAAAACGAACAAACTGCTTAACTCTTTTACTACACAGAACCAAATCTTTCCCTCACAGGGATGAGTCTCCTTCAACTCAGAGACAAAACTTAACTCATAGCAACTGCTTTCACACAGCACACTCTTCTGACTAACTGTTTTACTCAACTGTCATACCTAACAGACACACCAGATAGACATTCCAATCATCCACACAGCATCCATTCCAAAACCCCTCCCCCTCTCTGTCACTCACCAATCATATCACTTGCTTGAGTCCAGCACTCTAG